TTGCAAGCTCTTGGCAACCTGAACATAGGCAGATGTAATAGCCAACCTCTGCTGAATGGCAGCTGTATGGGGCAGCCGTGACCGCAAATCGACTGATAATTACGGTTCACATAGGAGGCAGCAGCAATCATCTTCCGTATCCAAAATTCGAGCCACCTTCTTTTCATTTCATTTCATAGTCTCTCCTTACTCTTCTTTGCAAATATTCTCCTTTGTTCATTAACTATTATTATTTACTCTTAACCGACCGACCTATTCCTATCGTCACATATCGTTGAGGCGAATTTCCCACCGACCGACGACATGGCGAAACACAATTACCCGTACAAGAAGAGCGTCACCATCTTTGTCTGGACCGTCCAATTCATCGGCTGCATCATCCTTCTAGCAGCATCGGCATGGATAATATGGGCTTTTGTATCTGAAAAGGAGCCTCCCAATTTTAGGCGATGGCGTACAGTCCTCACGTGAGTATTTTTCGTCCCGGACGAGGAAAATAAGGGAAAGGGGCCAGGTAATAATGGAAATGATGAGCGCCAGCTAACGTCGAAACTCAACTGTAGCGCTGCTGCTGGCCTCCAAATAGCCTTGGTGGCCGTGAATATTGCCATGAACATAGCCGAGATCGTCCTCATTGCGAGGAAGCGAATGCCACCGTCACTATTCCTGACGAACGCGATTATAAAGACGGCGATTTGGGGTATCCTCTTCATATTGAACGTCATTGCGATATCGGTGATCGCCGTAGTCATGGATCTGATTCTCTTGTATGCACCACCTACCGTAGACATAACCAGATGAGTTGGAATATAGCTGACACCTACGTATAGTTTGACGGGCATGGTCCAACTCGTGCACGCGGTCATTATATTCCACCGCATGCGTCAGGGCATGTACGAAGGTCTTCAATATCGTACCACGAACCCGGTCGACCCTATGTCGGGCATGGCCGTCGGCGCGGAAACAGGATCGAGTTTATACCACGAGGACGTAGTCACCGAGTATAAGTCGCCGTTGGCGGAGCCGGCGGAGTACGGAAACATGACCTTGGCTTACTCCCCGCGTAATAGCAGCCCCTTGTACGAGGTAGATAACCGGGGCCGGGGTTAGGAATCCTCGACGGAGACTTGTAATTGTTACAACGGGTGTTGAATGTTAACCAGTCCCGTCGCCGTGTGGAAGGATTGCAATGCGTCGAAGGGGGTGGAGGGAAAGAATCGCGTAGGTTCGGGTCTGACCCTTGGTACTTCTTCGTGAATATTATTTCTTGCTCGGGGGAAGACGAGGGCATCGAAGGCGGTTAAGAGGATTGTCGATAGCAATTAATACTGTACCTCGCGTACATCGTGCATCGTGTACATCGCAAGAGATGGGGGCTCACCTAAGCCCTTATAACTGACCGCAGCTCTTCGTGTAATCCGAGTACGAAGTGTGTTCTCTCATACGTCAGTGATAATCATTCTACCATGTCGGATGCTGGTAAGATCATCGCTGATGGGAGCAGTTGTGATGATAATATTAATGATATGGATATTCCTGGTAGAAATGTGTAAGCCTGCACAAGATTCCAGGCAGTCTGGCAGTCAAAGTCCGGATTATGTAATTGGGGCTTAGCATTGTGCTTGTACCTACGTACTCCAAGCAATTTGATAGCCCGAGTTTAGCCGATACGGAATTCGGCAAGAAGGAGACAGAGACTCCACGTGGTCTAAGCGGACCAAACATCTGGGGCTTGTGCTACATTGCTACTAAGCTGCTAAGCTTCCCAAGAGTTCTTGTCCAAAGCTTGTGTTCGGGAAGCTACCATACTGGTCCTAAAAAAGGAAGGGAATTGCACTTTGATATTAAAAGGACCTCTAGCCGTCAGATCTAGCCCTACAACAGCCAAGTGCTAGAATCTAGCAGTTCTAGCCTTTTCGCCAACTTCCGTGTTGATATAGATCGACATAAAGAATCACCTAGACAGCTCGAATTGCCGGAACTTACCTAAGCTATCGGAACAGTGCATAAACATCCAAATATTAACGTACGACGTCGGGCTTGTTATTCGTTGGTTGGTACTGTTATAGGTACCAGGTACATATCACGGAGTGGTGGGAGTGACACGGGGTATTGTTAGTATGTTTCATACGGACGGACAACAACAAGATTTGCGATCAAGGAGGGCATAGCCACTTTACTCTGCACCTTTCTGTCGATATATGATCTTCCCAATTGATTGAGTACCATCCATAATCATACGTTGTTACATCCGCGGTAAAAAAAAAAAAAAAAACCAAAAAAAAACCAAAGCTCAAGATATACTATCAATTGAAGGCCCAAGGCCTGTAAGTCCCCGTAGGGCTATGCTGTGTGTGCCTACATATGCCGCGTACCGCTTTAAGACTATTCGTATCTGATATTATGATATTATGAGCGCTTAGATGGAAGGGGATTGACCGACAGATACTAGGTACATATATACGATAGATCATGATTTTTTTCAGCTATGGATGGATCTAAAACCGCCGGCTCTAGAGTAAAGCACTGCTGCTGCATATGGTATTTCCCGTATTAATCATTATTGTGGTAGGATGATTGGCTAGCTGCAAGTCCCAACCCCATCTTAGACCTCCACTCTCATGTCTCTCATGTAGGTACTATGTAACTAAAGTAGTATCGTATCGTACATAGTAAGTATCCTGCATTAGAACGACGTACGGGTATGAATACTAATAGAGTATTAAGAAAGGGCGCCACAATTTAGTCGCAAGCAGCTTACGACTTGGGATGATGACCACCAACGGATAGCTTCTTTTAGACACGTAAAAAACAGTTTACACTGTGAATCAAGAGTCTCTGACAACGTCAACATTGGATCCCTACTAGACTTCAATGGATATCCATAGTATTAATTGATAGACGTGGAGCTTGCAATACATATGGCAATCACATTGACACTACGTAATTGCCAGTGCCAGGTAGGATGTGAGACAGGTACTAGGTACCATTGACAACAATCATGGGGGATCTTCAAATCCCAATGGGTCCTTCCCAAACAACCTTTGATAACAAGCCTTTTACAAGCTTTGTGGCTTGCAGTAGGTTGGGGGACTGTCCGGTGCTGTTTCCAATTGAATCTATTATGGATTGAAGACCAGGGTTCCATACAAGCCCTTACACCTTTCCCTAGTACTTTCCCTTACCAGGCAAGCTCCTGTCCCCTAAAAAACCTGTTAAGGTTCTGGGCTCTGGGGTCAGGTATTCCCCTGTTTACGATTACCTAGGTTACTCGCACCCCCCCAAGCCCCCAAGTCCCCAGAAGGACACAAGGGCACAAGGGCAGTCGACAATCACGATAGAGATTGGACGATTGGACTGTAGGAAGGTAGGATGGATGTGCATTTGGGCTGCCTCCCATTAAATCCTGCCGTTATATCCGCCGAATAGATAAAGAGATCCCTCCCCCTCTCCAACACCTCTCACACACAATCAATAGAAGTCATCCTCACCGCTCTTGTCTTCCCACTCGTATTTCACTCGCCATAGTCGCCCATTTCAGACTCTCGTCCAAGTCGTTCTCTTCGTAACCTAAACGAAAACACAATCCCTCAATCTATCAAAATGCCTGCCCCTCAAGAGCCCCAGCAGCAAGCTCCCATGGAGATGACCTCCAACACCGGCATCGTTACTCAGCAGCCTGTAAGTAATTCCCTCTGCCAAGACGCTGTATGCATAAGCAGCAAAACAGCAAAATAGCGCGAGTATCCTAATTGACACTGTCGTTACACAGTCCACTGAACCCCAACCCGACATGGGCAACCTCCGTGGTGGTGAGGAAGCCGGCTGCGAGATCTGCTGTGGTCTCTGCGCCTGCGACGAGGGTTGCTGCTAAACGCAGTCTCCCATTAATGACACATCTCCAAAGCTATCGCTTTGAACTGATCCGGTGCTGTGGAACGACCACCACGCTACATCGTCTCATCGCCATACTCATCGCACAAACAACGTACGGCTTATACCCCGCATTCCATTACCATACGTTGCACAGGCGCTTGGCAATAACGCGGTATCCGGAATCAATTATGTGACCATGGGTAGTGAATGGAGGACGAAATGAGTTTATGTCTTTTCAAGTCAAAGTAGTGGGGATTGCTTTCGGTCGATAGAAATCGTTGAACAAAATACCTACCATATACTTTTTTTCCAACCAATGATTGCCGGTTCCCTAGCCGTTCTCGATATTGCGTGTGCCAAGACGATGTTGAGTGCTCAAACAATGAACTGGCTTTCCGGTGTTTGTCATCGCCAGCTACCAGGACATTGTGCCAGGCCTTTCTCTTCGATTCAGAAGATGCTACCAATGACAATTACATTGAAAAGGATGAGATGAAGTCAAGAATGGGTTCTCATTCCGGGTCGAACTTGTCGAAATAAGCATTTGACCAAGACTTGGCGATCTCTTGGCGGCGCATCCCAAGTGCTGTCAAACGGGACCCTGATTTCGCCATCATCCTTTCATAGGATGCATCGTAGACACCTAAAGCCTAAAGGTAAGCTATTCCGCTGATCCTCTGGGGAGCGACGGGATTGGGAAAGTCGGGGAAGCACAATTGACACGATTCATTCGCCCAATGTTACACCATTTCCTTCGTCGAATAGCTCATCTGAAATAACCTTGCGTCGCCACGAGGATACCACGTTTTCTCTCTTTGTAGTATTTTACTTTCTATTATTAGTTTCTCTGTATTCGGCCAAAGACCAAGAACTATAAGAGATTCTATGTATTTTTGATGGATTTTATCTGTCATGATTGCTATGAATACCTATCGCATTAGGTGTTCTGATGTACATAGCGTGGACCCAGCCTTGAAGCTGTAAAGCGACCTTGCGAAGGATTTTAACCGGCGGTGTGAGCTGAATCAAACTCAACCAATCAAACACGATTTCGCTAGTAATTTATATATAAACGCCCACTATAAAACATCGCAGCATCCAATCAATGAGACCAACTTAGAAATGGTTTCCTGGTGTAATGGCTAGCACTGCGGATTCTGACCTGTCTCTTCCAAGCGCCCCTTGTTTGAGTTGAGTGATATTTCCGCCAATCTGGGTTCGATTCCCAGGGAGACCTTATTTATTTGTTTTTTTGAGTGAATTCTTTGAGTTTCATATGGATTCATTTTGTCACTGATTTTCTTTCCTTTCCCATCTTTCTTTTTGTGTGTTGGTCAGGTGGTCTTTTTAGAAGGAAAAAGAAAGGAACGCCAAGCCCCGAGATTGAGTGAGTTGCGATGGCTAAACCACATGAACGGATAGTAGGCAGAACATGAAGATGCCAAACCCCTATTTCATCAATTTGACATATTTCATTCAATTGCTAGGTAGAGTTTCTTCATCCTATAAGACTATTCGTAGTATACATAAATGCTCTGTACCGAGTATGATACAATCGCATCCTGCAAATGCGACCGGATGAAGCTATCATATATTATTTATTCCTTCCTCAATCATCCATCCATCGTGAGCTTCATGTCCAGGCAAGTATAAAGTATTTAAGTATGCTTAATGTAGCAGAGTCAAGAAGTCTAGGACGTCTCTTATTTTTGGGGTTTATCTCCGCCCTCGCTATCATCAAAACCACTGCCGCGGAATGGCCCGCTCAACTTATCCCACATCGTCTCCTCGCCTCTCTCCTTTCGCAGCTTCCTATCCAAATCCTGCTTCCTCCACAGCCCCTCAACTTGCGCTGCGACTTCTGACTTCGCGCGCCACTCGCCTCTGATGGCTTCCTCTTCCGCGGCCCTGTCTTGCTCGGGCACCTTCTTCAGCCGCTCCATAAGCATCTCTTGCTGTTCTGCCGTCAACTCTTCGTGTTGTTCTCGTGGAGGTAGCTGGTTTATGCGCGATACAAGCGGCGGGAACTTGGGTACCGGGCGACCTTCTAGTTTGGCGGCCGCGATTTCGGCTTCCTGAGCGAGCATGCGTTGGTATAGCGCGTCGGCGTGTATTTGGATGTCTTCCTCGACTTCGGGGGAGCGATTGTAGGTGGATAGGTAGCCGAGGGCTTTCAGTAGTCTCTGCGATGCATATAGTCAGATCAACCATACTCCACTATGTTTGTAGACGCGGAGATTCAAGGAGAAGCACCCACAGTTTGCATAAGGTAGCATCTCTCAAACTTCTTGATCTGGTCGCGACACATGGTCATGCGCTCCGTGATGGTCGGATTGCCCATGCATTTTCGCCAATCGACCTGCTCCAGTGCGCAGTTCTCCAGCGCAGCCTTCCCGATCTGGCTCTTGCGCTCCTTGTACCCCTCCAACACATCCATCAGCTTCTCGTGGTCGCTCTTAGTCTCGGCCTCGACCTCGGCGAGCGGCCGGTACGTCTTCCAGATGTGCGCATACCGTCCATCTTGGAATTGACTCTGTGGTGGGACTACCGGGGCATCTCGTTTCGCATCCTCGGCTTCATCTTGTATTTGCTTTTGTTTTTGCCTAGCTTCTTGGGCAGCGGCGGCTTCTTGCTTCTGTTGCGCGGGGCTGTACTTCACGGGCGATTCCTTCTCGAGGAATTCCCGGAGCTTGGGGTCGAGCGAGCGCAGAGGGTCGTCGGTCGTGTTCGACGACCATAGACTGTTCCACCAGCCCATCGTTTATCGAACTATTTTGGAGAATATTCAGCTATTGCTTTCGGTTGCTCCATAAAGCTAGGTCGAGAGATTTCGAAGGGATTTGACAATTTCGTCATTTCGAAAAGTTCGTTATCTCCATCCTTATCGTAGAATATTATGTACTTAGACATGTATACGCAACTATCGCAATTATTAATAATGGTTTACCCCACCATCACGATGACCCCTTAAGTTTATATTATTATCCTTTCTACCAAAAAAAGTCACTGATAGAAGATCTTTCTACTATCCATAGTACTCTCGCGATCGAGTCTCTATATGGTCAATTGCAAAATGTGGTTCTATCACATACATCTCTTTGTAGCTTGAGGAACCCTGGGCGGTATACCGGCGCCACCGTACTGCCTCAAGAAAACAACTTCCTGTCATGTTTCTGCGATGATATCATGATAATCATCAGTAAATTGAAGACAATATGGTATGGCTTGATCCTTATGCGCAGAACTACTCAATATTATGGTGAAGATTAGGTTCTTCTAGGACCCAATGTGCCGAGATTAAGTCTCTAGGAATGATTTTGCGATATGAATTTAGTACCTAGCTTTCAAGAACCCCCATGAAAGAGTCTGTACTATATAAATTTCGAAAAATGCCCATCATATTTCAATCGTGATCAGAAGTTCTCCTTTACTTGGTACGGTTTCATGACCTAGCGGTACGCAACACCCCCAGTTTGACGCGGCTGTCAGACCAAAGAACGAAGAGGGCATCGCGAAACTTGTATAAAGGAGATGCTTCCCTATCCGCTCCATCATGTTTACCATCTTGCTAGGTAAAACCACACACGCAGTTGATATTCTGTTCCTTGTTATAGGAGGCCGTCATAGCTATTCATCCTTATCTTAATGCTGCTCCGATTGGCGCGACTCCAGGCGCTGGCGATAGTAGTTCAATGCCCCAGGGATTTCGGCTAAAAGGATTGCTCAAATTTGAAGCTCATAACTGACGAAGACGTGACTGCTTATCGCATTTCTCCTGAGCGGCACTAAAGCAGAAGCTCACCAATTTATTACGGTCTTTTTAAACCTATATCCATGAATCTTGCACGTAGGCAATGTTCCGTATAGCTAGGCGTGGGTTAGAATAACCCTGATAAATAAAAATTGGTATCTCTATGAAGAAATCCCTATGATAATTCCTTAGCTAGAATTTGAAGATTTATATTAGAGATATAAAAGTTAGCCTTCGACAAATTCGATACCTTCCGTAGAGACAATCCGTACGCGGAGAGAGACGGTGCTATTCTCTAAGTGTTCTGTAACAAGAGCCAATTCGCCATCCCACCTATTTGACACTACAGCCCGTCCACGGTGAGCTTATGATGGTGAATCGTAAGCCATTCATTATACCACTCTCCAGTAGCTAGCTCTGCTACAGCACATTCCTCACGGCCTAACAACAGCCGGGAAAGCCGTTAGAAGAACAAGCAGTTTCCTTTGCTCGTGAGCTTTGTTAGGATATTGTGGCTACTTCGGGTATCCGATATACATGGAATACTCCTGCTATGATAAGATACCTGAGTAGGGATATGGAAGGGCTAAGCTTCCCGGCTCGCGAGACGTAGGAAGGCATAGGATTCTGATAATGTATGTTGATACTATCATGCCTTGCTCGCAGTATCCTCGAATAGAGTGCCACGATATGGACTTGATATAAGTAGATAACAGTCTTATGAACTTGAAGTATATTGAGGTTTAGGTTAGACTCGTTGTTCTCTTGTTAACTGATACTTGGCTACTAATTACTGTACGTGCCCCAGTGAGTTGAGCTTGCGTTGAAGCTACCTAACTAGAGTTCTAGGAGAGTAGATTTGAATTTGAATACTCGGCCTCATATCAAGATAGACCTAGAGTATATCCATGATTGGTAAATTAAGACAATATAATCCATGGGTCTTGTTTTGAAGAGTTATTTGCCTATGCTAACATATTGCCCACCTAGTATCTACCTGAAGTGATACCCCTTCCTTGATTCGGACAACGCAATCCCAACCATGTCCGGTTTTCAGCACAATTGCATTTGCGCCAACTCATTCTCGATAGGGTGAGAAGAGAAGACCTTTCCAGGATGGGCAGCTTTTCGCCTTCGTCCGGAGACGAAGAACTGCTCATCTGAGATAAACTTAGGCGAGCTAGTCCTAGAAGCGTCTCGAGTTTCAGGACTGGATATTGAATATCCTCACAGGAGGTAGCCGTCTACGGTGTCCATTCAAACAACTTGGGGACGCAACATGTTAATGAGCAAGAGCACCATCATCATTTATTTCTCAACTAGACGGCTGCCCATCGTGAAGAAGCCATTCCAAGTCACTATCACGCCCTTGGAAGATAACTGTGGGTTTGGTATATCCGTTTTTATTTCTCAGAACTGCCCTTGGTGCATCTTTGTGCCCCGGTAGAATGCCTATGAATCACCCGTTCCGAATCTGAGATCATAAAGAACCATCAAGTAACAACGCCATCGATGCCCAGGAAAGATCCCCAACTTAGAACTTGCTGAACTTCTTCACCGCCTTGCCGGTTCGGGGAAGCACACGAAGGACGTTGAATCGTACCTGTCGTACCATCCAAATTAGCAATTCATTCCAACCAATATCAAAATCCCGCTTTGAAAAGCATAACCCGCGAGAAACGGATTTGTAGAAGAATAACGATGGATGTAAACGTACTGTCTTGCTGAGAGGTCGGCATTGGCCAACCGTAACCTGGTCACCCTCCTCAACACGGAAAGCCGGTGAGACGTGCGCGGCCAAGTTCTTGTGTCGCTTCTCGTATCGAGCGTACTTAGGTACGAACTTGAGGTACTCCCGTCGGATGATAATAGTTCGGTGCATCTTGGTGGAGACGACGGTACCGGTTAAGATACGGCCACGGATAGAGACGAGGCCGGTAAAAGGGCACTTCTTGTCTGTTGGTTTTTATAATTAGCCTCGTGTTGTTTCGTACGGCATCAAACAGGGAGTGTCGGTTGAGATCGCGGGCATCGTGAAATTCAAAATAATCGTTCATTCGGCCTGATGATATAGTTGGTGGGACATAGAACGCCTCCAACCCTCCTCACGTATTTTCGCATATTCACGTACCGATGTAGCTTCCCTCAATCGCGGTCTTGGGGGTTCGGAAACCCAGACCGACGTCCTTGTACCATCGGCGGCCACCCTGTAAGGTTGAAATGTTAGATCGGAAGACAGAGAAAGACCATTTGGCCTCGTCGGCGAAATAGAAAGATAATTAATGATGGTGTCGCCTTACCTTGCCAGGTCTCGTGGACTTGGCCTTGACCTTGGAGTTTTGGAAGATATGGGGCTGCTTTTGGTAAGCACGCTCCGACTGAACAGTCAATTCCGTAGCCATGTTTGCGATTTTTTGGCGGTGTCGCAAATGTGGTTGAGGTCGGGAATCGTGTGAGAGTTGTTGTAGTTGCGATTTTGCGAAAAG